CCCGATAGGATACAGCCATTTCAGAAAAGTGAAACTAAGTTCCCCCGTTCCTGGCTACTTACTTTTCCTGAGTTCCCGGTTCTCTTTCTCTAAGGCATCCAGCCGACTGTAGACAGAGGCGTCTCCACCACTGCCTCCCTGTGGACAATAGAGAGACGCTTAGTTTTAGTAAGAGTTTTACTGCACTTGCAACACAATAAGGTCATACGAGCGCCAGAAGACTAGAAGTGTTACAAAAGAGTAACAAACACAAAATAGAAGGAGGGGAGATATGGATGATAGATGTTTGATAGGTAAGAAAGAGCAAACCACACCAGAGCACCCGCCAACCACCCACCAAGACAGGTGCTGGTTTGGTCGGGCGCAGTCGTCAGTGACACTGGACTGACACTATCGTGGGTGGTCGGAAATGTCCTGTACACTCCATGACAACATTTGGTACAACTTTGGTCTATCTTTTTGTCCATCCATCAAAAGACATTTTTCGTTTTAGTAAGAGTTTTACAGCACTTGCAACACAATAAGGTCATATAAGTGCCAGAAAATAGATGTGTTACAAGACAGTAATATAACATACACAAAAAAAGAAGGAGGAGAGATAAGGACGATAGATGTGTGAGAGGAAAGAAGGGGCATATCACACCAGAGCACCCACCAACAACTCATCATCAACAGACACCAGCACAACGAAAACAATACCAACACAACAAAGTACTAAAGTATCTCGCAACACATGGTCTATCTACGACATCTGTGTATTCATCCACCAGTCCTCAGCACCGCAAACGTCTCAAGTGTTATAAAATGGCCACATCAGGCAGTTGAAGGCGTGACAACTTGGTCAAAACGCACCATTATAATATCAGATTAAGTAACAAGGAAGACAAAAAATACAACAAGAAGGCCTGATTTAGGTGTACAGTATATATGTAATACATTTGGCCCATCAAAGAGGTGGAGGCTAAAATATCCTCTGAAATTCCAGATTGCCAAATCTACAACAGTCCAAGAAAGCCCAGGACAGTGGGTAAGCCTGCAATCATTAATCGTCACACTGTAGACATGACGTTAATGAAAAAGAAGAGAGAAATTCTAGAAAAAATATATTTTGAGTTAAGCAAGAAAGTGAAACATATTATATGCATGAGGACAGCCAAATCTTTAAAAAAACATTTAGCACGAAAAAAAAGCTACCTTTGAGTTTGAGTAGCTAACGTTCATTTAGTGCAAGGAAAATTTACGATAGAAATTGAGAGACAACTGGGAGAAAGACAAGAAGCAGGAACTACCAGTGGTACTCTCCACTCATTCACTGAAAAGGTACATTGCACAAACAGAAAAGAAGCATGATAGAAGCCTGACATACGACTGACACCCTTCAACCACACTATAAAACATTTAACGTTGGAACTTACTAGAAACATTACTTGCAAGCCTTTAGAACACTCATATATTCCAGGAAAAAAAAAATGCTTCTGCAGTACTAGGCTCAGGTGAAACTTCATACAAATCAGAATTGTTTCACTGACACTTTGACATAAGGACCAACCAACCAAGACGGAGTGAGATACACAACTCCAGCAGGAATACGTATACATTTTATAAAATAATAAATAAAAACAAATCATTTGCATGAAAAGCAAAAAGAGCCTAACAACAACACTACAGACACCAGTCTACAAACAGAGGTGAGCATGGGGGGGGGGGGAAGAGAGGATAAACCTTTACATAAGGATTCAATATGACATGGGGTAGCTCTAAACGAGATAAGTTGCTGTGATAAAACCCCAAAATTCACACAAACAGTTAAAGAGCCTCAAACAAATCACGTTTTAAAAAGAATCAACATTTGTACAAAGATAAGAAAAAAACACTGGACAGCAGACAATTGAAGAACTATTTCTTTTTTAAAAAATAACTTAGTTTACATCGTTTCACATCTCTCCGACAAGATATAAAACTGACGGCAAAGCCATGCATGCTTTCAATGGCCTATAAAAAGACCGAATGAGGCATCCACCAACAGGCGGGTACACAGCTATCTCGTACATTACAAGGAACTGACACATCGTGTTTTACCCCCACAGAGACAGAATTCAGACCATTCAAGTCTGAGCAGTGCAGCTTCCATCCTGCCTGTCAGGGCAACCATCAGCCTAGCAGGGTGCAGCATCCCAGCAGAGAGACGGTGAAAACTGAACTCACATCTTAACTTTTTTTTAGCCATACCGGCCTAAACCGGCCCTCCGTCATGTTGCTGTACCGGCTTTTACCGGCTTTCCCCCCTGAAGAGCCATACCGGCTTTCACCGGCCCGACACACCTGCCTTTAGCGCAGGCTTAGAAATAAGAACATTCCACTAGGTCTTTGTATGTGAAATTTCATTGAGATACGTCGCTCAGCAGATCAAAAGCAAAAGCATTTTTTGCTACTACCCCTGAACCTCATGAGAAACACTGAAATGATTCGGTTCTGGGAAGCCACCAGCTGGCCTCCATTGTGCTTCTGCTGTGCTGACTTGCTGACCAATTTTTGGTGCTAAGTTGCAAGTCGAAGAGCCTTACCAAACCACAACAGATTCTGGATCGCCAGGAATTGATTATGACCATTATAATAGTTATAGCAAAACTGAAAAGGGTTGAAAAAATAAGAGTAGACAACACTACTCACAACAACTTAGCTCTGAATATACAGAAACAAAACAGGGTGGGGTGGGGGGGAGAGAAAAGAATATCGAGACATTTCTTTCTTGCTAGTTAGAGCCAGTGATGACAGAAGGGACAATGTTTGAAACACCATACTCAAAACTAGACTGATAGCAAACCTACAATGGATGTCCTGTCCTCCATTTCTAAACCCTCTGCTCTTAAAGAGTTTTGAATCAGAAATAATAAAAGAGTGGACATTTTGGCTTTTAAATTTAAACCCATGCAAAGGAAAAAGTAATGCAGGAAACTAACACACATGCAGGAGCAAAGAAAAAAACTATCATTTCCATAGACACTATCAAAATACATAAACAATGAAAGCCTCCAAAAAGCAAACCCTCACTCCCCCGTTTAAACACACACACAAAAAAACACCCCAATATATTTAAAGTGAACATAAAAGTATACAATAATCTGTCTTCTATGGCTTTATTCAATTTTCACACAAGTAAAAAAAAAAAAAACACCACCAAGAAGATACTTCAACAAAATATAAATGAAGAGTGAGTAATTTCATTACATGATTTGAGGAAGAAAAAATTTCATTTAGACAAATTTTGCCCCAGATCTGACAGTCTACAAAAATCTATTTAAATAAACTGGGAAAAGAAATTGGGAACACCCCCCCCCCCTCCAAAAAATAACAACAAACAAACAACACCCACCAAAAAAAAACCCAACAACAACAACAACCAAACAAACTGACCAGGATCTTTAATTTAAAAATAAAAAGGATGAAAAAAGCGTGAAAGCACAATGACCGATGAAATGTGCGTTTTATGAGGTACAACAGATTTGACAACACAGACTGTGAGAGGAAGCTACTCACTGCCGACCCTGGCTGTTTATTTAAAGCTTTCTGTATATCTTGTCTCACTTGGGCTATCTCGCCAGCCAGTGAACTGCTGGCTTGCTAGGAAAATAAAAAGTAAAAAAAAAAGTACTGGTAACTTGAAAGTAACAAAAGAAAAAAAAAGCCTATAAAAAAGGAAGAAAAATAATTAACTGATTTTTGGTATTACCATTGCTACACACTACTCACTACAGTTCATTAAAAAAAATGAATACCAACCAATAACTTAAATTTTGGTCAGTAGAAAAATCTGAGAGAGTGAGTTAAAAAAATAGCTGACCAGTGTCATTCAAGTTGTAAAAAGAATTGTTGAATTATCCCCACTAAATTCTAAATGTCAATGAAGTACCAAAAATCGTTTATATTTTTACTTAAAAAAAAAAAAAAGAAAGACATCTTTACACTACAAGATCAGACACAAAATATATCCCCACAAGAAACCACACAGCCTTATGATAAATATCTCAGGTGTAGGGCCAAGGAACCTGTCAGGGTGACAAGCTCCAATAGCATTTCAGAGAAGGGACGAATTGTATATGTACGAATGTCGTACAGATGACAGATTTAATTCTACTTCAACACAGACACGGGTATGTATCTAAGAGATGGGACCTCCGAATTTAACATTCATTTCCAATAGGACCTAGCCAAACGAATGAAGAGCTTTAAAAACTCCCTGAAAGAACCAGTTACAAGCTGGGGATTCAAACCAGGGCCACCCATCCACTGTCCAGAACTATACCAACCAAGGTAACATGACAGTGCCCATTCTAGTAACATTTAAAGACCCAGAAGTCTACCCAATTAATCCACCATCATCATCAACCACTGCCAGATCTGTGACAGACATCGGTGATTATGGTTTTCCATCCATTCCTTTACTCGGACGCTCTTAAAAAAGCTACCATGTTATTAACCTATATATAAAGAGAAAACAAAAGAACAACAATCACATCCCCGAACCAGTCACCTACCCAAACGAACCCCTTTGCATCTGAAACTAAAACAACAGTAAAAAATACTATATAATTAGAGAAGAGGGTTAGCACACATCAAAGATGGAGGGGGAAAATACTGTTGTGGTGTAACTATTTACATTGCATGAGATCACAATCCACACATGTTATATTTCTCACCAAAAAAATAACACAGCGGTTTTCAAAGTAAATGAAGAGCTCCATAAAGTCACTCTAACCCTAAATCAATAGACAAATATAATGAAAAAGCAGAAAATCCAGTTTTTGATAGTATCAGCTTTCGAAATTTTTTTTTACTGCACTTGCAACACAATTAGGTCATACAAGAGCCGAGGATTAATATAGTAACATACAAAGGAGGAGAAATTAAAGATGATAGATGTTAGATAGGAAAGAAAAAAACTACGTTAGAGCATTAGGCAACCACACAAAATCCATAGAGTGAAACTGTCTCCTTCTGTGACCCCTGTATTTAGTTTAAAAAAGCAAGAGTTATACCGCACTCGCAACACAATAGGGTCATATACATGTGCGCCAATTTAATTATAGGTGTGACAAGAGAGTAACAAGTTACAAACACAAAAAAGGAGGAGAGATTAGGATGATAGAGCATGTTAGATAGGAAAGAAGGAGCAAACCACACCAGAGGACCCTCCAACCACCCGCTGAAACCCTTGTGAAGTCAGAGCCATAAAGGGTTGTACCAAAAGAAACTATGTTAAAGACCACCCACACTGCCTCACAGAGAGAACCCCAGTAAGATTAAGTACTGTAATGAAAACTTTTTTGAGAAGAAGCACTTCATTCACGTTGAATCACATTGTCACAAGAAAAACCCTGACCTTTTTTATCCTGTCTAACAGGGTGAGCAACAAATGAAGTAAAAATAAGAAAGTTCTTGCACCAGTGACGATATAATATACTGGCCAAGCACTAACAAAATGCATGGACAATGACCCTTTCTGCCACAGTGCAGACTGCATCAAACTTGGCGTTGTTCTGAATGTCTTTTGCTTCTAACATTATCTTGTCCATGTAGATTATAATAACAATCGTCAAAAACCACTTTTGGTGTCAGGATTCACAGATTATAGAAATTGTGCAAGACAAAACTTACTACAGGAACAAAAGCTGATCAAGTTTCTAATTTATGGCCTTTAAACCTGGAACTCCTTGCCCCAGGATCTCAGAGAAATAACAAATCTTAATACGTTTCAGCGATTGTTCAAGACTCAATTGTTTCATTCTTAGCTATAGTGTGTTAGTTAGTAAGAGCTGATATGTGTTGCTTTTACTGCTGTCCTTATGTGTACTTAATAAATGTATGGTTGTGAAAGTTCTTTATGTGGTTGAACTGGTTTTTCTTGTAACTGTGAAATATTTTACCTTGTGAGAATCGCTTAGTGACCGTGTGATTGATCATTGATGTAAAGCACTCAGAGCTTCTACTAGTATGGGATAGAGTGCTATATACATGTAATCCATTTTTATTATTATAAAGGAGACTCAAAGTGAGGAAAAGTGAAAGGGAGCAACTTCGATGTGTAAAAGTTGGAAGAACTAGGAGAGCGCAAGATGTTGTAGTGACACTGAAAATTTGACAATCTTAAGAAAAAATAGCTACAACATAGCTAGCTAGAAGCTATAATAACCTATCCGATAACATGCACACACTTCTGTGCAATAACAAGCTCAGGATTTCACAAAAAGGCCTGCAACTATGCTCGCTATCTATCTAGCACAAACTCACATCAAATCTAGAATTTCGTTCTCAGTTGTCATCCTCTGGTATTGCATCAAGTAACCAAAGTGTATCTTTTGAAATCAAAGTCCTGTGCTTAAAAGCGCTTTGAGTGTCGGATGTCAAGTGAAAATGAACTTTGGTGACCCCGACAGCCTCCGGTCCACGACACATGCCTTACTCATATGAGGACAGGTCATGCAATGAGAATGCCCGGATGAAGCAGTTTCAACGACCTCTCATGATGACTGGCCTGACTAACTCCAATTTTGACTGGGATGATGCTTGATTTTTCTGTTTTTTTCCCTCACAAGTGACAGGAGAACGACGACTATTGATTAATTTGCATATTGCACCCATATTATGTTATTACGTATACCCTGCAGTTATCAGATCATCACTGAAAAGTTCTAGGCGGCAACAAAAGCGATTTTTCTTCCCGATCGAGACTGCTAGCAGCTTCCAATGTAATATTCAAACATCCATTTCTGCCACTGTCGCTTTTTTTTGCTTGAAAATCAGGGAAACCCAAATGAATACCACAAATGCTACAAAATAAAATATTAACTTACAGATCTTATCAGAATTGGTTTTTAAACATTTGGAGAGCTTTCCACCCACCCAGTGCGCAGAACACACGACATTTGTCCCTACGTACCAGGATGCAGATTGGGTACAGTAGTGCTACACTTTACCTGTATTTCAGCAAAAACACCCCATCATAATTTATGAAATTTTCAGTAACAAAAAGAGAAGCAAGCATCAGCACATAATCACCTGTGAAGAGTTAAGGGTACCAGACTGAAGACGGATGTACAGGCTATTGGCATCCTCAAACTTTTGCTGTTGCAGCCAGACATTTTCAAGAGCAAGGGGGTTGGCCATTATGGAGCAGTATGTGGGTGGTCTGAGCCTGGAAACAAGAAAAAAAACAAACAAACATGTGAGGCAGCGTGGTGAAATCAGGCACTCGTCAAAATAATGAAATTGAAGATATCGGCATTTTTTCGCAGGTTTGGCAATTTTTTAAAAATTCTTTACTTTCGGCTCAACACATTTAATGTCCATATAAAGAAACCCATTTCAATTTATTTTGATTAACCCTATCCGTACGTCGTGTTTTACTATCGTATCCATAGGCCTACAATGTGGGGAACTCTGTGCCACCACTTTCCAAAGAGGATATTTAGGTGCATCTTGTAGTTCCGTTCGGTAAAGCCCACGATCCATTTGTTTACATCCAGAGAAGAAATTCGGAAGTCTTGATGACCAAATAGGCAACACAAAGAACAGGGATGCAACCTTATCGCAAAACATCAAAATAGTCTTACATGGTAAAATTCAGGGGGGCATGCCTAGCCTACTCTTGACTCTTGGGGCCCAAACCGGCAAATAATAATTAGGGGGTGGGAACTGCCGAAAAAGCGCCATTCTTTGCTTGAATCTTGATTTTCTGGCAATTCAGAGTCTCTGGCATTCATCTTTGGACTTAAACGAACGAAACTAGAATCTAAACACCTAGATTTACAAAAATCAAAGAAATTTACTCGTTAATCCGATCCGTAGTCGTAGCCTACGCTTTGCATAGCAGTCTGTCAAAATGATTTTTTTAGAAATAGGCCTACTGAAAGTTTCAAAGAGATCTTCGTACTAGAACTAGATCTAGAAGTATTCTAAAATGTGAACAATACAACTCCGGGGGTACAAAATGACCCCAGGGCATACGGATAGTCATAGTGGATTGGATAGGGTTAATGAATCCTTCCTGAACATTTGCATATCTGTCTGCCCCGCTCAATATGTCGTAAGACGCAGTGTGCTATTAGTGGAACTCAGATTCAACGAGATGAGATAGATTCCCTGTTTTTTCTTCTTTAAAATCAATAAAAATAACCCGGATTCAGCGAGCACTTAAATCAGCGAATTCGGATTCAACGAGGTCGCTTCCAGGGTGAACAGCCCCCGCAGACGTGGCTTCGCTCATTTTTCTCCCACAACGAACTTTATCTATTCCCGAAACCATCCATTGCACCTGCATTGTGAACCATTATTCACTTATCTGAATGCATGAGACCAAGCAGCGGCCTTTTTTCATACCAACACATGCGTTGTTGGCACTCGCACATAGATCTACGTAATGAATTGTGCGCTGGTCTATGGAATCAAAAGTTGTTGTATGCTAGGCTCTACACAGCAACACAACTTTTTGGTAAACAATGGAGATGACACAGGCATATGTGTATTTGAGCGAATCTGTCTTTTTTTTATCACACAGCTCATAATCATAATATGTAGGCATTTCAAATACTACTTGTGACTTCTCTTTATACATCATTTGCTCAGTGCCTGTAATTATCTACACAAAACCTCGTGTTTACTATAAGAACACTCGGATTGAACGAGATTTTAGGTCAGGCCCGGTGATCTCGTTGAATCCGAGTTCCACTGTATCAACTACGAGGCTCGAAAGGCAAAAAAGTGGCTTTCCCATGACGTTTTTGTTTTTTTGGATCAATTGAAAGTTTGATGTCTTCTGCTTCATTTAAGACAAAAATAAACGACTAGATCTAGATTCTAGATCTATACCTTTCAAACCGCTATCTCAATTCTAAGACCCCCATTGCTATGGAAACATGTTGGCTTGTTGCTCAACTTCGGAGGCCATTTTCACCTTTGTGTGTTTCCTAACCTCGCACAATTAAAAGTTCTGCATTTTCGTCAAATACGGTCATATTTATTTTATTCTTGTTTTAAATTGTAGGGAAAAAGTGAGTTTTTTTAAATAATGTTACTCAGTTTTGAAATTTCCTTCATATGACTGATGATACTGACTGGCAACTGGCAGGTACACATATCTGAAAGAAATCTAATAATGTGAGGGCCACCTCTATTCTCACCCGGAGTGAGAATAGTGCAGGCGAGTCTTGTGGCTATTCTCACCCGGTGCGCGTTCACCAAATTTTGCGTTCACCCTAAACCACAGAATTCTACACTGTGATAACAGAAAAATTGTAGAATTCTGTGCCGTGAACAAACGTTCCGTTACAACTGTAGCCTACTAAAAGCGTACAATTTTGTCTGTGGGCAGTGGAGAGAGAGAGAGAGAAAGAGAGAGAGGAGTAGCGCGAGAATTTGCGGGCAAAACAAAATGGCGACCCGCGTAGTTCGGCTCGATTCGAAAAGTTAAATAGCTGTAGCCTGTAGCATCTTTGTAGACAACCAAATTAATTTACTTTTGTGTTTTAACATCATTTAAAAATTTTGTTTTGGTCAATTTGATCGTCCACACCGATAGACAGTATTCAGAAAGAGACAGAGAGAGAGAGAGAGAAGAGGGGAGGAGTTGATCTTCTTGCGAGAACTTCCGGGCGGGTGAGAATAGTTTCTAATGTGAGAGTAATTTAATACTTCTTTGACATTAGATCTACTTTGTTGAGCTGGTGAGTCTGGAGCCGGGATCCATGGAGCCAATGTGAGTCATGACAGAGAAAGGGAAAGAGGGGGGGGGGGGGGGGGGGGGGGATACGACAGCAAGATGGTGCTGAAGATGGCACAAGTGAGGAGCCGGTGAGTCTGCATACCGCTAGCGGCTGGCACGGTGAGTTACCAAGAAGTTTGTGACCGGCATTGCGAGTGTACCTGGACTTACGAAGCGAAATTAAGTATTCATGATAAAACAAAACGTTGTCATAGGCGCGTTCATGGTTTAACAGAAATAATAAGGGCAAAATCAGAGTTTATTCAACAAGTAAAAACAAACTAAAATCTCAGGTACCTGAAAACTTTACTCGTTCACACGCACGACCACGACTAAAAAGGAAGTAACCTTTTCTATAGCAGAGGAGTTCAACTATTTGCAAAACTTGTCAGGGGTCACAATATAGGAAACGAAAGAAAATATCACAGAGTAAAACGGGAGACAAATCAGCAAATGTATAATTAGAGTGCTTTCCCATTTGTTTATAACTACCAAGCAACATCTTGCATTTCTAAACATCTGTCAGGATGATAGCTGCATCGTTTTTATTATTTCAAGAGACCACAAATGCGTTGAGTAAATAAACTTGATTTTTGTGGGATTTAAAAAGACATTTTGTGTACTTTAGGACTTCTCTGTACATAATGGTAGGTCCAAACTGGGACAAACCAGCTGAGCCTGAGGAAAAACTCCGGCCCGCTGGTACACTTCAGCGAAACCCCCCAAATAACGACAAGCCTCCAACCTATCTATTCAAGATCATTATCGTCGGCGATGAAACCGTGGGGAAAACCTCTTTTTTACGCAGGTTCGTGATAATAGAACAGTTCTGAATTTATGGAGAGAAAAGTTTTGTGCAAACCTGCCAACTAGACTACTAGATCTAGATCTAGATTTTTAAAACGCCGTGGCTGCCCGTACGGGACCGTACGGATAAGAATAGTGGCTACCCGTACGGGACCGTACGACAAGAAAATATTTTATTCGTACGGCAGTATCGTTAACTTCCGCTTTGTCGGTATGGGACCGTACGGATAAGAATAGTGGCTACCCGTACGGGACCGTACGACAAGAAAATATTCTATTCGTACGGCAGTATCGTTAACTTCCGCTTTGTCGGTAGGCCTAGATCTAGTAGCACTTAGCACTAAGTTGACTAAGCAGCAACGAGAGTAAGCCTACCGTAAGAACTCGCACTCTCTCTTTGGACTGAGCAGGTTCATGTTTAGATTCTAAACTTAAAAAATAAAAGTCCCCTTCCCATCTCTCTCGCGTTTCAAGGACGCCCTCATTACTTAAACGATCTTTCTCTTTGTGTGTTGATCGTGTGTGAACATATTTATGAATGAAATGAAGCAATCAGAGGCATAAAACTGGATGAAATAAAGGAAGAGGATCAGTAGTTGTGTCACTGGCTACTGCTACTACTAGATCTACTACTTACTACTACTGCTACCAATACCTCCACCATTACCACTTCTTTTCTCTTGGCTATTTCAAATTTTTATCAAAACACCATTTTTAAGGAAAGATCCAATTTTCAAGGAGAATTGAAGGAACCCCAGGGACTAGGAAGGTTTTGTTGTAGCTAATTTTAATGAATTTTTAATTTTGTAGAAATGTATTTTTGGGGAAAAAATTCTTCAAAATATTGAAAAAGAAACCAATTTAGTTTATTTAGGTTTGTTTTTTCTTTGGCTAATCTCAAAAGATTATAATTAGTAGTGTGTATGGAAAAAACAATGGTATATTTCATGCATTCTTTTTCCGCAAATTCTTCAAAATTCTGGAAACTGTTTTGGGGTGGGGTGGGGGGGCTTGCAATTTTTTGCAAATTTGGCCGCAATTTTTGGCTTTTTCTCTTGCATTTTTTGTGTGCAAGTTTTGGGGTTTCATTTTGCAATTTTCCGTGATGCCAGATCTCTCACCATTGTTTCTTGCCATTGAGGCTCCTGTGGATGCTAGTTTGGACTGTGTCTTGTATGTCTTGTAAAGTTGTATGTGTAAGGGAAAATTAGCTATAATCACACAAAGACTCATATCCATCACACACACACACACAGTATAGAAATCCAGACATATGTATTGGTTTCCAAATAAGCTATGGACATTTAATTACAGTTAGGAACAAATGCTTATGTATGCATACAAATACAATTGTGAAAAAAATGTCCCATAACACAGCTTCGATCCTTCTCCCATCAATGTATACTCAAAAAAGGGTAATTGCAAACAGTAAGAGTAGTAAGACCATCCCTCAAGTGTTGAAGTTGACAACATAGAAGCGTGATATGATATGGTGTATCCTTGCAAACCCTATAAAAATAACAATTTTAAAGTTAAATTTAAATGGTTTCACCATGATTTATTTCCTCTGAAAATGACTAAAGAGACATCTGAAACAATCTGCAATTCTTTTGTGTGGTTTAAGTTTAAATCCTTTATTTCTTCTTTGAATGAATCAAATGTTGTGATTTGGTCTTGCCTCAAAAGTAGGTCACAGATGGTGGTCTTATGAAGTTCTTTCATTTCCTTCATAATTCTTGTAATCAAGCAAAACAAAGATGTTTGGTGATTACTAGATATCAAAGCCATCTCCCAACGGCCTCTCAAGTGCTTTTTGTGCCATGCATCACGTGTACGGCAATCCTAAAATTTATACTGTTGGTCATCGCAGCGTATGTCCAATTTCAGTACCTTTACTTTATAACTTCATCATATTTGGTAGTGGATGAAGAGCCAGAAAGCTTATTAATGGCTGGAAGTTAAGGCCAAAAGCATTGTTTTCCTTCAGTAGAAACAGGTAAAAATTTTAGCACGTTACATTGTTTTTGGTGATTAAGTATGTTAGGCTCCCAAAGTATGTCCATAAATTGTGATGACCAACAGAAGGCTGCTGTTACATAATCGGTTCTGTGATGTACAGATCTATCTACCAAAGACTGAAGCTCTTCAATCAACTTCAGAATGTGACAAGATTTCAGTACGTGAAAATGACTCGTTGCACGGGAAATGAAAAGTAAAGTCTGTATGTCCAGTGTTAGCAAAACCGAAAAGCGCCGTACGAATAGAATATTTTCTTGTCGTACGGTCCCGTACGGGTAGCCACTATTCTTATCCGTACGGTCCCGTACGGGCAGCCACGGCGTTTTTAAAAACTTAAACCTGTTCATCACTTAAATTGTCACTGGAGCAGATGCGTTGTATCTGAATCTGACGTGAGTTCGATTCCCACAGTGAAAAGCAATTTCATTGATCAGCTGGTTTTCTGTCTGCTGAGATTTGCAAGAATACAGTCTTTGTTTGCTCTGGCATGTATGGCAGAAGCAGCCAGCCTCCTGCTATATGTATTACCTGGATTGTCTGGGCTGCGTAGGGCCTGTAACACATTTTTATAATATTATAACATAATAATAAAGATTTGCATAATTCAACAACAAAGCAACAACAAAAAATTGTGGATGCCCAGCATCAGGGCCCCACAAGATGAGATATCTAATGTAAATAATATTATAAATTAATAAGGCAAGGCGATCACACAGATCAGTTCCTTAGCAAACGTCAAGCCTAGGCCCCTGTTATAGTAGTAGATTAATATCATGCAGCATTTGGTTCAACGTCATTGAGGAATTAATTGACCAACTCTCTAATCCAAGTCAGTGTGGAAGATCAAATCAATTATTTTTATTCGACCCTTTATGTCAGATAGATGGTGTTTTTAAAGATTAATTAAGATACACCTAGATCTTAAATCAGAACAATGTTGTACTGCTCTATGTGTTGCAACTTGTATTTGTAAAGCACCCAGAGCCTTAGTTACAGTTATTTAATCCAGGTTGAGTGCTGTATAGATGTCGAACTCTCTCTTTCTATCTATTTCACTCTCTCTCACCCTCACACACACACTCACACACACACACACACACACACACACACACACACACACACACACACACACTCACTCACAAACACACACACACACACACACACACACACACACACAAACATAAAGGTGTACCGGTAGGTATAAATGTCTGTCTGTCTGTCTGTCTGTCTGTCTGTCTGTTGTAGGGGTGAAAGATTTGACAAGTGAGCTGTGTTAGTTGATTATTTTGTTCGTTGCATAAACGGCCAATCATGGTACTGTATTGCACTGTTCGAATTAGGCCAGTCTAGCAGGTTCAGGTCATGCTTTAGAGGAACATGTAAACAGTACTCACCTGTGGAAACTTTCGCTTGAGCTTTTACGAAGATGAAAATTTTACGTTTCATTTAGCCTCTGAGTATATGTATAAGGGAATGTATGGAGGTGGAGATGCGCTGGGCCAAGGTAAAAAAAAATCTTTACTTTTACCTATCAAGAAGTACTCGGTGAGAAAAAATTGGAGCTTAAGAAATGGATTAGCCAACGCTCATAGGATTTGATTAGGATTAGAAGACAACTGAAGGCAGAAGCGAATACATGTAGAATAAGAGAATCAAGAGCGGATGCATTGGGTCAGTACTGTACAACAGCTAAATGTGTCAAGAGATCACTAAGAAAAGACAAAGAGGAATGCATGAACAGGCTGGCAGAGAGAGAGAGAGAGAGAGAGAGAGAGAGAGAGAGAGAGAGAGAGAGAGAGAGAGAGAGAGAGAGAGAGAGAGAGAGAGAGAGCAGAGGAAGCAGCGGCAGGAGGGCGCATGCGTATCCTTTACCAGACTACAAAGACTCTTGCAGGAAAATGTGGGAAACCTGAAGTACTAGTGAAGGACCAAGAGGGGAAAACCCTTTTTAGAACGGAAGCTAGGCCTCCTGAGCAAACCAACACCTAGTAGCCTGCCAAACATTCCACCAGCAAGAAATGAGTTTGTGATAATCTCCGAAGTTTGTTTGAAGAATCACACATTCTTACCACTACGTGTCTAATAAAGTCGAGAATGATGACATCATCCCTCCTTGGCACCTTCCTATCGCAATATTAGTCCACTACTCCCCCTCACCGTAATATCATGGTGTATCTCATCACTTTCTTTTTTAAATTAAACATTTTTTTTTTTACAGTTTTATTTGTCATTTTGTATCCTGAGATCGCATTTATGCATGGGCTAAAATGTTGCCACTAAAAAGTGTCATTGATGAGCAGTTATTACTTAGGCGATATTTTTATGCATGATGTACAATGCATGTGAGAGAAACTGAAAGTGTTCTGAACACTTCTATTTTCTGAGTGACGGAGATTTGTTGTACCGGTATTTTATAAATATTTATGAAGAAAAGTTGATTTTTGAAAAAGTCTAGCCTGAACTGTTGTGGGAAAATATGATTGAGTTGATTCAAATTTATACAAACTATTGTGCAAAGTATGAGTGACATTGTTTCGCCCGTCAAAAAGATATTTGAGGATAAGTAGCGCCACTCTGTGTTGACCTATTAAAATGAGCAGGGGATGATATACATTATTATATATTTTAATAAATCATATTATTTGTTATTTCCCTTGATTGTGTTGTCCTGACGGTTAAGGTGAACCTTGGGGCAGTTGATTAATCACTCACCCGACGACATCAAGCCATCCGTAGCCTAGTCGACTTTAATGAAAATGAGTACACAGGAAACGAATTGAACATAAATGTCAAGATTTGCAAGCATTCTTGTAAAAATGAGCAAATCTGGCCCCGGAGTTTCCATTTGAAAGGTTACCGACAGAATAGCAATCTGCGAGGCAAGGTCTTTTCTATGGGTAATAGGCAAGTTAATTCGCCCCGTGACAGAGTGTGGCTCAGCAAAACTGCTCACCTCTCAATGTATGAGCATTACTATTTACATGTATTATAAGGTCTTGCCTATTCTTCAAGTTAAACTTTCATTTTCCTGTCTTGTGCTCACTATAGATTTCGTAAGTAGCTGTGAAAATGGTGAAATGGTATAGAGGTTTAACGCCCCTATCAACAATATTACAAGTCGCTGTTCATGTGTCGCTTTTTCTTCTGCTGAGTGATAGTGATAGTATGCCCCAGAGTAAATAATAGGCTTTTGATTTTAATGGTGTTTGTTTGGGGATGGTTACAATATCTCAAAAGTTCCCCTTGTTAAAACATTTTGTCAGCTCTTTTGTTTAACAGGCAGGTATAGGCAGGCAGACAGACAGACAGACAGACAGACAGACAGACAGACAGACAGACAGACAGACAGACAGACAGACAGACAGACAGACTGACTGACAGACAGACAGACAGACAGACAGATAGATAGATAGATTTAAAATTTGTGTGAAGCAAATTCTGCTCAACAGCAAGCTCTATGCGTTTTACAATCTCTATATTATTATTATTATTATTATTATTATTATTATTATTATTATTAACCCCAAGCAGACCTGAAACGTCCCCCCCCCCCCCCCCCCCCCCCCCGTGCAGTGCTTCTGACTGAAATTGTCTTTAGGCCATTCCTAAAGGGGGGGGGGGGATATTAATATGTTCTTATGCACAGTAGAAATGTAAATGGGCGCTGATTGATCAAAGTCATGCTCCTACTGTGCCGGAAAAACGTAGGGGGTATTGCTGCTTTTTCTTCCCTCATCCTTACTATCGTCATTTTCCCTCTACTTCTTTTGTATGTTTGTCACTCTCTTGTGAACTGCTATTTCTGGGGTACCTTGATAGTCGAATCAGACTTTGTGCTGTTGAGGCTAGAGATGAGAGCAGAGTAAGCCTGATTCCCCGTTTGGGTTTGTCTGTTGATATCCACCCCTTGGCGCTCTTAATATGACCGTATGTAGTTGCCAGCGCCGTAAAACCTTACTAAAAGTAAAAGATGAGACCTGAAAGCATTCTTAAACAGTCTCAACTCTTTGGGAAGCATACAGTACAAGCTGCTATTTTACAGGCGCTAAAACACTAACAGTAACATACTGACATGAGCTTTAATTGCTGCCTATGGTTGGCTATCCATTCACTCCTGGGTGAAGTGAAGAAAGTTCATGTAAAGTGACTTTCTTATAAAAGGACTCAGCGCCAGGTGTAAGGCTGGAACTCCCGAATCCTCAACCTCACGATTACAAGTCCGGTCTAATCACTACACTACCGAAGCATCCATGCATCCATCTATCTATCCATCCATCCATCCATCTATCTATCTATCTATCCATCCATCTATCCATCCGTCTGTCTGTCCGTCCATCCATCTATCCATCCATCCATCCATCCATCCATCCATCCATCCATCCATCCATCCATCCATCCATCCATCCAGACAGATAGACAGACACACAGACAGTCAGACTGACAGACAGACAGACAGACAGACAGACAGACAGACACAGGCCTTCTCAGTCCATTTTGCTGTATTTGATACCTCAACCTATTGCCTCAGTGATCATTCAGTGTATTCTTTGGCTTTTTCCCCCCCTTTTTTCCCCATAATTAATGTTTTTGGGTTTTTTAAAATTTCGTTCCCCAGATTCACAGATGATACATTCTCACCACAGTATTCAGCGACCATAGGAGTAGATTTTGCAGTGAAAGTTGTGGAAACTGCCAAAAACGAGGTCGTTAAACTACAGGTGAGAAATAAAAGGGCAACAAAAGCAGGCAATAATAAATTAAAGCTCATACATTGTGTCGGTTAGTTGCTGTCTGTGGTGAAAAGGTTGGGGTCTTCATGCTTGAACGCAAAAGACACGAGGTTGATATCTGAAAAAAACAAACATTGAAAGGACCCATGCAAAAGGTGAAAACATTTCAGCAACAATTATCTATACTGACGGTCATTAAAAACGCACCACTTACAAAACAAATCAAATAATGGTGATGTGTTTTTTTTTTTTTAACAGGTTATATACCATTGCATTCTTTGGTAATTTTGTGAATATTCACAGCTGAAATGAAATCAAAAGGTCAAATGGCACCGCGGGCACAAAAGCATGAAGTAACAAAAGTTCTTTAAAAAATTAGAGAGGTAAATTGAATTTTTAACACTTGCCTTAGTATCGTGTATGTCCTCCTTTGGCCTGAATACAGGATTGGCAGCGTCTTCTCGTGGAATTGACAAGAGTCTGAAAGAACATCTGTGGAATCTGTACCCATTCATTTGTCAAAGAACGCCTCAGCTCTTGGAGATTCTGTAGAGGTCTTCCACGGGACAAATTTCGGCCAAGCTCGTCCCACACATGCTCAGTTGGTGCCATGTCAGGAGACAGTGATGACCAAGGCAGGACATCAATGTTGTTTGCCATTCAGATACTGGTCCACACCGACCAACCACTTGACGACCTGTGTCCCGTGCTGGCAGGAAACGGTCACGAAGGTGACGTTGGCGAATGTGACGGTCTTGCGCTGGTGTTGTAACTTATGGTTGGCCGCTCCGTCGCCGATCTGCTGTAGATCCAGTAGCTGCATTTCATTGAGACAACCGGATAACAACAGTCGAGTGGCTACAGTTCATGCGCCTGGCAACTTGCCGTGCTGCCATTCCGGCTTGGAGCATTCTAATGGCCCTTTCACGTTCTTGCAAGGAAAGTCGCGGCATTATTTACGCAGAAAAAATCCGTCGCGCAGAGTAAACAATGTCAGTTTTTGTGTTGGGCGAATAAAATCTCCCCGTAACAGCCAAAAAAATATGTCTCGCTAAACAAAGTTTAATTTTGAGGTCGACACATCGAATTTTTGCGTGTTGCACGTGCGAATTGACAGTTTTGAACTGGGAACTTCAAATTTTGTGTGATCGGTAACCTCTGTTGCCTGTGAACTTTTGTCAACCTCAATTGATGTCACGGGATACATTTTCAAGCAAAATGTGGTAAATCCAAAATGGTGCGTTTTTAATGACCGTCAGTATATTATAGCATTTGTTTAGTGCAAATCCCCGCTCAGCAGCAAGCTCTATGCGCTTCACAATCTATACTATTACCGCAGCAGACCTGAAAGCATTCTGAAACAACCTCAACTTCCTGGGAAGTTTGACAATAAGTTGCGCCACCATCTTTTTGACCGTACTACTGTATGCATATATATCCAGAGGTCTCCACTCTCCGCGAGGCAACGTAAAGGACGCCATTTTATTATATGACGTCATGCGCGAAAGACGCTCTTTAGTTTTTAGAATGTTCAGTCGAAATTTACTTACTTTTAGTTATATCTTCTATTATCTATTTGTGGTGGCCGAATTTTGCTATTCAAAAGGCTTTTTAATGGCTGCATCGATCGACGTGCGGTTTTCGCTAAAAGATTCTTTAAAATATTCTCCTAATCATGACGCCCTTCGTTTTTTCAGTTTTGAAAAAGTTTTGCTGCAATAAGTTAAATTTCTTTATTTCGCTGATCGCTTTTGTAGGCCGACGCTTCTGTCTCTGTAATTTTAGAAAATCCGCCTGGTTTGTTTATTTCAAGTCGTACTTCCGTTCGATACTATCGCGCAGTGGCGGTGGGTAGTGAAGGGCTCACGGGCTTGAGCCCCGCAACTCTATCCCAAAGCAAAAGAAAATAACGAAATAAGCAATTGAAACCGTTATGACCGCACGCAATGAACACAGAGTGATCAACTTGTTGGCTTGCTCGTTTATCCAATCACTGTTGCCACCGCTTACAACTATAGTAACCTAACAGCCAATCAAATGTCTTTAGGGCTCAGCAAAGATGAGCCGGTTCCCATTGACCCTCGTTAATGAAACTCTTCTTGTAAAAAGGCAGAAGACTTGAAAAAACTAACACTGCACAGAGGGTTCACGCAGTCCAGTCCTGACAATGGGGTGAACGTTTACGACACACTTTCCCCCAGTGACACAGTTACCTACGCTCCCATTGGACCTTTGTTAGGTGCTATCTACTTTCCTCGACTACACGGCCTAATCCAGCTCGTGGAGTGCTGTGTATACATGTTTGTTGTGTGTGCCGCTGAGATTTAACAGTTATTAATCATACCAAACCACTTTTGAGGCAACTTTTTCATCAGAAGAAAATCAATTAGAGAAGTTTGGAGGTGAAGCATCAAGAAGAATTTAACGTAGAACAAAGAGAAGGAAGACAAAGGTGACTCTTCTCGTTTGAATGGTTCTCAAAATGCCGTGGCTCGCGGTGAGTATGGAAAAATCACCACTGTTTTGTTCTTATTGTTTGCTATTTGGTGGTAAAGAAGTGAAAGCAACCTAAGCCCCACCCAGATTTTGGTCCACCCACCGCCACTGCTATCGCGTATTGTCGCGCAATACTGAGCACTATTTTAAGTGTGCGACTCGTACAGATCCAGACTCATGTTTTCTTTTTTTACTTGGTGCTAAATTCGGCTGTTTGGCAACTTGAAAACACATGACATGTGTCACTTTTCTCTCAAGATGTATTGCTTCATTCCAGTAGAGTGTAAACATAGTAGGCCAATGACTTACAGTTGATGTTAATGCACCGATCATTCCTTTCATCGAAAGGGGGCCCAAATAGCTCTTTCTAATTGCAGGTGTGGGACACAGCTGGTCAAGAGCGTTTTCGGAGCATGACTTCCTCATACTATCGAGGAGGTCACGGAGTTGTGCTTATGTTTGACGTCACAAAGAGGCCTAGCTTTTTACACCTCTCCAATTGGCTGACGCAAATTCAATCGTTTTCAAATGACGATACCACTATTGTAAGTAATACCAAAGAGTCTACATAACAAGAGGGGCCACTTCTCTCTTTGAGCCAGTTAAAAAGGTGTCCTCAAAATTCGGTGGCGCCCTCTTCGCAAATGCGCACCCTTTGCGAACAGAGTTACCCTACTTGAATTTAAAAAATCAAAGTGAAATTAGCTAGTTTTTGGATACATTTCGGAAGAACGCTTTTTTAAAAAATGGTTACGCTGACAAAAAACGTCTTCCGGAGGAAGGGGTGATTGTTTTCTTCGTTTAAATTTGACTTTAGAATGAAAGGCGAGAGGTCATTAAATATTTAAAAACCCCAAAACTCCGCACTGAACGAACCCGAACTGCTGATGAACAGCAGTCGATCTGCGCACGCAAGGAGGTGCTATCCCTATTCTTCTTCAGGAAAAAAAGAAAGAGAGCTTCAAACAGACTGCAACGCCATCTGAAGCAAAGAGCGGACTTCCGGCGGACACTTTTTTGGCCGAGTGGCCCATCTTGTTATGTACTATCTTTGGTAATGCACACGTATCGGAACGTTCTTTTTTTCTCTTTTTAGATTTTGTCTCCCTCCTTCTTGTCAAATTTCAATGATAACACCATCCCTATTGATTCCATCAGGGGCTTTGCCATTGTAAACAGAAGAGGTGAGTTCAATTCAATTTATCGAGTATCCCTTGCTATTTGGATTGTATCCATTTCAGCCCGGGTTTGCATTGATAGGCATGCAGTCTTTCCAACAGTTCCGAATTTCCTGTGACAGTCCTGGATTCTTTTCTTTTTTAAAAATAATTTGTTAAGTGTTTTCCGGCGCTCGCTACTGCTGTCATATGAGCGCGCGGGACATGTTAAAAATCTAGTATATTAATTTGTCTTTCACACACGAAAAGAGCTCGTTTTTTGTGTCAGCCAACGAGAGTAATATCTTGAAAGTGTCATGTTCCAATTCTTGGAGTCCCCTTTAAGAAAAGACATTTTAAAATTATGCACTATTAAAAAAAAATTATGTCCACTAGCCCCTCCCCCTTCTCCCCCCCCTGGGTCTCCCCTTTCCTCTGCCTCCCTCCCTCTCCTCTGCCTCTCCCCCTCTCCTCTTCCCCTCCCACTCTCCCTCCCCCTCCCACTCCCCTGCTCATCTCCCCTCCATTCTCCTCCCTCCTCTCTCTAAACTTCCCCTCCCTTCTTTACATTTCTTTTTACATTTCTGTCCTCCAACCCCACCCCCTTTTTCTCCCCTTCTCTCTCCCCTCTCTGCCTCTACTTTTCCCCTCTCCTCTGCCTCTACCCCTCTCTCCACCCCCTCCCCTCCTCGTTTTTACACCTACCCCTCTCCCTCCCCTCCCCATTTCCCTTCCCCTCTCTAAACTTCCCCTCCCTTCTTTTCAGGTTCTGGTGGGCAACAAAGCTGATGAAGATGAAGGAAGGGAAGTGGGCACCGATGAAGCCCTCAAGTTTGCCCACGAAAACGATCTCCAGTATTTCGAGGCCAGTGCTAAGGACGACGTGAATATTGTTAATGCCATGGAGGTAATTACTACATGTATTCTGTAACGTTCATTGTTCATTGTTCATTGTTTCAGGAAGCAATATCCCTGCACTACGGACATGTCCATTAAAGCTCCGTTGCTCTCTCCAAAATGTCGCCGAGGGTCTTTCCACTGATTGTGCCAGTGCACATCAGGTTGAACGTTCTTTCCTGCAAGGATGCCAGATTTTCCGCTTCCCTTTTGTATTCCCAAAAGCATCATCCTCTCCACGACAGTACTGGCCTCTGCCGTAACGTAGAACAGACCACTGTTTGGATGAGGCCATGAGAAGGCCTTGGTGAGGCCACATTGCAAGCGAAATAGTGGGATTGACCGGAAACGAGAAGCAATATTACAACATGTATTTCTGTTTCAATAGCCATACTATGAGCGGTTCCAGCGTGAATCTCCCTCGCTTTACATATGTTAGGTATCGTGGTGAAATCAGGCACTCGTCAAAATAAAGAAATAAAAGAAAAAGGCATTTTTTCACCAGTTTGACAACTTTTATCGAAATTTTGGTTTTTGGCTAAACATCTTTGATGTTCATAGGAAAACACATTTCCACGTACATTTTAGTGAAAAACCTTGTTTAAAGGCACAAAATGTGTAATTTTCAGTTTTCAAT